CCCGGCACCCTTGTAGAAGGACCTATAAAGGCAATTGCACATTGTGTAAATCTCAATGTAATACATAATTTGGCATACTATTAAGGACAAGGCGAAAAAGGAATGAAAACATTTCCTTTCAACTTATACAAACTAGCCATTGTTGAGATGTATTTTTTTTATTTCCACTAAACATAAAAGAAAATTGTCCTTTATTGCAGATATATGAATGTACTGATTAAGTATGATGCAATGTCCTGCTGAATAGATATTTAGAAAATGGGGTATGAAATATGACTGGTCCATTGTAATTGTAAATTCAAAAGTACTGGCTTTATGATTGCATCTTTTTAGATGTATTCAGGCTTTGAAGTGATTGTAAAGTATATTTACCTGGTTCCTTCTCTTCTGATTGTGACTCCATAGGAAGTCATATGCTCTGGGGGCACACCTGTGAGCTTGATCCTGATCTGCATTCCCTGGGTCCATAGACACAGACAGAGTGGCTTGGCCCCACCCCCTTCTCCCTCATCACAGGATTTGACTGACAGCATCGGGAGCCAATGGCTTCCACTTTCTCAGAGTGGGGAGAGAGGATGGAGCTGCAGTGCTTGATCGAATGAAGACTCAGGTAGGTATGGGGGGGTGATTCTGCTATCTTAACATTTTTAACTTAATGCAGGGAATGTAATAAAGTAAAAACATTTTTGGCTTTCGAACCACTTTAAAATGGAACTAAACTCTTTCAATCATCATTACCTATCTATAATCATTATGCTTCCAGCATTAGTAAATAGGCAGGAAGATGTATTATATTTACTTGTTTTAAATTTTTTTTTTTTCACTTCATTTGCTTCCTGGTTTCTGGTCTAGACCGACATGATGTCATACATTCAAAAGTCTTCATGTGCATTTTTTTTCTTTTATTTGGAGGAGGGGAGGAGGGGCTTTCTCAACTAAGCCATCCTGTCTGTATGCCTGAGCTAAGGGCAGATAGATTCCAGGAAATAATGGATACATCTGCCCTTACTCAAGATAGCTGTGGCTAGAAATGATAGGGGGGTGTTTTTCAAAGTGATTCCTCAACAAAATAAATCATGGAGACATGACATGAGTGGATGGGGGAGTTTGTTTGAATATTAATGTAGCACTACACTCTTGAGGGACGCTGTGTTTCTAGGTCTCCTGAAGCTTCACACAGTCAGGCAACATGCATTTTCCACACAGAGTAGGTCAGCGCTGCGGACCGGGCAGCAACAGACTGAGGGCTACACATGGCTGCTGTATGTAGACATCCCTGACTTTGACAAATAATCTGTTGCTATTTCAAGCAAATTATTAGGAAGAAACCTGAACAAATATACTGTATATATAATGTGCTAAGCAAACAGTATATCAGTTTAGCAACTTGCAGAAGACTGGATATGGATCGATGGGTTGGACTGATGGTTATGTAACACCCTTGCTGAAATGTTAGCTACAGAATGTTAAAACCAACACAAGATGACAGTATCCTGCAAATTTAGTGACACTCACACTCTAGAGCAGCCCCATGGACGTTGTATGCTGAACCACAGGACTTTTGCTGGGGAGCCATGTATCCAAGGACTACATTTCCTAGAAGTGCTGGTGTGTGGTGGGTGGGGGCAGATGTCAGGAATGGACTGGCCAGCAATAGTGGGACTCAGCTGCCTTATGAGCTGCAGTACCAGGGCTGGCCAGCGGGTGCTCCCAGCAATCAGAGACTCAACCTTGCAGCCAGTCAAACACCTGGAACTAATTATACTGGTGTATTTAAGGGACATTCAGACCTGCAGACTCTGCCTTGGTCAATTAACAGATATTTGTATGCCTTGCGAGCCAAATTATATCCACCCAATAACAACCTCCCAAGATCACCAAAAAATGGACACAAACTGTCCCAAATGTAAATAGGATCGCAAACACTCAACACACAACTACCTCTGTGTCCATAAAGTTAATAATTCATAATGTGTTGCGCTCCCGGTATTAATCTCTATTGTGTTAATATTTCTATTTACCCATGGTAAACATATATATAATCAAGTGATATACAAAAATATAAGAAAATAAAATTATATATGGTGATGCAAAAAAATTTTTTTATATTATCCACTAATATAAAAAATATGTAAATGTGAAAATAATATCCCCAAAGAAATACGTGATATGATGATGTGTACTTGAAAATAAATATATATAAATCAATATAACATCATGATTGGTGAATAATCAAAAAATGTGAAATATATAAAAAATAAAAATGAAATATATATATATATACTGTAAATAAATAAATAATTAATTTGTGGTAATAATGTCCTTTAAATTCAGTGACTTTGTGCTTGATTAAATCTTGACTTGGTGACTAATTTGTGACTCTCTTTGAATCCTTAATTAGTTAGGATGTATGCTCACCTCCTTATTAGCCTGCAATTAGGCTATACACACTTGTGGTTCACCTCCTATGGAACCTGCTTAGATGGAATTCCTCCTTTACAGAATGTGATATATATATCACTTGATTATATATATGTTTACCATGGGTAAATAGAAATATTAACACAATAGAGATTAATACCGGGAGCGCAACACATTATGAATTATAGACTCTGCCTTGGTGTTGTGTTTCTCTTGGGCCCTGTATCCTGTTCCTGCTTTCTGTTCCTGTCTGATTCTCTGCTGACCCTGCTCTGATCCCTGGCTTGTCTGACCATTCTCCTCTGCCTGACCCTCTGTACCACGCTGCCCGCTACCTGCTGAACCTGGCCTGTGACCCCGACCATTCTCCGCTTGCTCCCCCTGTACCTACCTGCCCGACTGATATTGACCCGGCCTGCCTGACGACGCTTGCATTGTATGTACTGTTATCTGTGGGTGGTTGGTTGGTTTGTTTGCACTGTGTTATGTTTTAGTATTGCACTGCGTTTATGTTTGTATGGTTAGTGTTAATAAATTACATTGTTTATAACATATCTGAAGTCTGCGTTTCCCTGCGTCAGTCACACACCTCTGGTCATACTCGGGAGCCCTGACATTACACCAAGGCCAATCCTGACCAGAAGTGGCTGCACAGGGAAGCCATCTTGGCTTGTTGATGGGAAGGATGGATCTGGATGAGGTTGCGTATTTATATCTGCTAGTGTTTGATGACAGATAGTATGCTTATCAAACTCTGAAGGAGTATACCCGGGATGAACTGCTAGAAGGTATACGGCTCGCTCATGTTCTAGTACAGTGGTGGGCAACCTTTTTTTTCAACTGAGCCAAAATCTCGCCAAAACCACGATTGAAATTTATTTTGAGAGCCACATTTTTAAAACTGAAAATACATAGGATGGTACACTGTTTTTAGTTTCAATAAGTTTTTATAGTAATTCATCCCCCATATAGTAATTCATCCCCCATAGTAATTCATCCCCCATATAATAATTCATCCCCCCTATAGTAATTCATCCCCCATATTAATTCATCCCCCATATAGTAATTCATCCCCCATAGTAATTCATCCCCCATAGTAATTCATCCCCCATAGTAATTCATCCCCCATATAGTAATTCATCCCCCATAGTAATTCATCCCCCATATAGTAATTCATCCCCCATAGTAATTCATCCCCCATATAGTAATTCATCCCCCATATAGTAATTCATCCCCCATATAGTAAATTCATCCCCCATAGTAATTCCTCCCCCATATAGTAATTCATCCCCCATAGTAATTCATCCCCAATAGTAATTCATCCCCCATAGTAATTCCTCCCCCATATAGTAATTCATCCCCCATAGTAATACATCCCCCATATAGTAATGCATCCCCCATACTAATTCATCCCCCATATAGTAATTCATCCCCCATAGTAATTCATCCCCCATATTAATTCATCCCTCATATAGTAGTAGTAAGTAAGTAGCAAGTAGTAAGTCAAGTCCCTCCTGTGTCAATTCACTTACCTTTGCTCCGCGCGTTCCTCTCGCCGTGCTCCCCGCGCCGTTCCGGTCTTCAGGGCGGACTGTGAGAGGAGCCTAGCTCCCCTCACGTTCGTCACGCTGCCCCGCCTACACACATCCTGACAGCCAATCACTAGCTATCAGGATGTGAGTGGCAGCGAGACTGGCCAATCATTGCTGGGCTAGCTGCAGAGTCCTCGGCCACCCGGGAGGAGGGAGGGGAGGGGAGCGGCCGCCCGAGAGGAGGGAGAGGAGGGAGGGGAGGGGAGGGGAGTGAGCGCCCGGCACACAGAAGAGCCGCATTAAAATGTGTAAAGAGCCGCATGTGGCTCGCGAGCCGCGGCTTGCCGACCACTGTTCTAGTAGATCAGGGCACAGTGTTCTCTGAGGCGCAGCCATTGATTGAGGTTTGTGCCGAATGCAGGGATGAATTTTTGCCACCATTTAGTGCAGACCAGGTAGAGTCCCTGGTGTGGTTATTAGAGGATGATGTGGGTTACTTTCTGGAGCGTTATTCCACATGTTCACCACAGACACTAAGAGTTTGTATAAACGCAGTGCAGTCTTTGGTCAGACAGGCTTTGTGTAAGCTCAGCTTTGTTCAACCCATACTGCAGACATGGACAGATTTGTTGCACCCAGCCTCAGTCAGCTTACAAAAACCCAGTCCTGCTTCTAATCTATTTCCTCAAAGCTCTATTCCTGCATTCCCAACAGCTCCTCCTGCCCTGCTATCTACCGCATGTCAGTACCCTGTTCCCACTCGCTGCACCTATCCTGCCTTTAACCCTGTAAAAAAGCCCTCTGTAGCAACTGCTCCCTCTCCTGTTCCATCCTCCAGTTCTTCTCTGTCTCCAGCTGCTCCATTCATTTGCAGACCTGCGTTTACTTGCAGTGCTCCAGTAGTTAAAACCAGAAAAATGCGAAAATTCTTTCCAACCAATACCATCCTGCCAGTATCCAAACCGGTGAACCTGCCTTCCGTGGTTCAGCCTGAAGCCTCTACTCAGCCTGAATCCTCTACTCAGCCTGATGCCTGTACTCGGCCTGATGCCTGTACTCGGCCTGATGCCTGTACGCGGCCTGATGCCTCTACTCGTCCTGAAGTCTCTACTCAGCCTGATGCCTGTACTCAGCCTGATGCCTCTACTCAGCCTGATGCCTGTACGCAGCCTGATGCCTCTACTCGGCCTGATGCCTGTACTCGGCCTGAAGCCTCTACTCGGCCTGATGCCTGTACGCAGCCTGATGCCTCTCTTCAGCCTGAAGCCTCTACTCGGCCTGAAGCCTCTATTCAGCCTGAAGCCTCTACTCAGCCTGAATGCTCTACTCAGCCTGATGCCTGTACTCAGCCTGATGCCTGTACGCAGCCTGATGCCTCTACTCGGCCTGATGCCTGTACGCAGCCTGATGCCTCTCTTCAGCCTGAAGCCTCTACTCGGCCTGAAGCCTCTACTCGGCCTGAAGCCTCTATTCAGCCTGAAGCCTCTACTCAGCCTGAAGCCTCTACTCAGCCGGACGCCGGCATTCAGCCTGATGCCTCTACCCAGCATGATGAACTGATCCAGCCTGACGATCCTATTAGGCCAGTTGACTCGATGCCCGCTGTTGATCCAGATGATCCGGTACCTGATCCGGTGCCCGCTGTCGTGCCAATTGACTCAGAGCCCGCTGTCGTACCTGGTGACTCGGTGCCCACTGCCGTACCCGCTGGCGAGCCAAATGACCTGATGCCTGGTGACCCAGTGCCCGCTGTCATACCTGGTGACCCGATGCCCGCTGTCGAGCCAGACGATCTAATGCCTGGTGACCCGGTGCCCACTGCCTTGCCAGATGACGCGGTGCCCGCTGGCAAGCCAAATGACCTGATGCCTGGTGACCCAGTGCCCGCTGTCATACCTGGTGACCCGATGCCCGCTGTCGAGCCAGACAACCCGGTACCTGATGACCCGGTGCCCACTGTCGTGCCTGTTGACTCGGAGCCCACTGCCTTGCCAGATGACGCGGTGCCCGCTGTCGAGCCAAATGACCTGATGCCTGGTGACCCGATGCCCGCTGTCCAGCCAGACGATTCAATGTCTGCCCCAGTGCCCGCGGTCATGCCAGTTGACTCGGAGCCCACTGCCTTGCCAGATGACGCGGTGCTCGATGTCAAGCCAAATGACTTGATGCCTGGTGACCCGATGCCCGCTGTCCAGTCAGACGATCCAATGTCTGACCCAGTGCCCGCGGTCATACCAGTTGACTCGGAGCCCACTGCCTTGCCAGATGACGCGGTGCCCGCTGTCGAGCCAAATGACTTGATGCCTGGTGACCCGATGCCCGCTGTCCAGCCAGACGATCCAATGTCTGACCCAGTGCCAGCGGTCATGCCAGTTGACTCGGAGCTTACTGTCGTGCCTGGTGACTCGGTGCCCGCCGCTTCGCCTGGGGGCCCGAGACCTGTCGCTCCGCCTGGGGGTCCGGCGCCCGCCGCTCCGCCTGAGGGCCCGAGACCTGTCGCTCTGCCTGGAGGTCCAGCGCCCGCGCCCGCCGCTCCTCCTGAGGGCCCGAGACCTGTCGCTCCGCCTGGGGGCCCGAGACCTGTCGCTCCGCCTGGGGGCCCGGCGCCCGCCGCTCCGCCTGAGGGCCCGAGACCTGTCGCTCCGCCTGGGGGTCCAGTGCCCGCCGCTCCGCCTGAGGGCCCGAGACCTGTCGCTCCGTCTGGGGGTCCGGCGCCCGCCGCTCCGCCTGAGGGCCCGAGACCTGTCGCTCCGTCTGGGGGTCCGGCGCCCGCCGCTCCGCCTGGGGGCCCGATGCCTGTTGCCCCCGCCCCGCCGCTGGGGGCCCGATGCCTGTTGCCCCGCCTGGGGGCCCGACCCGACGCCTGTCGCCCCGCCTGGGGGCCCGCTGCCTGCTGCTTCGCCTGGTAATCCGATGTGCCTCTGCCCGGAGTCCAGCCCGATGTGCCTCTGCCCGGAGTCCAGCCCGATGTGCCTCTGCCCGGAGTCCAGCCCGATGTGCCTCTGCCCGGAGTCCAGCCCGATGTGCCTCTGCCCGGAGTCCAGCCCGATGTGCCTCTGCCCGGAGTCCAGCCCGATGTGCCTCTGCCCGGTGTGCCGCTGCCCGGAGTGCCTCTGCCCGGAGTCCAGCCCAATGTGCCTCTGCCCGGAGTCCAGCCTGATGTGCCTCTGCCCGATGTGCCTCTGCCTGGTGTGCCGCTGCCCGGAGTCCTGCCCGGTGTGCCAGTCTTTGATATCCCGCCAGTTACCAGACCCGGGCGGTGGAACATTTTGCCCAGCTAGGACTGTTTGGAGCGTCCTGAGGCCGCTCCTTGAGGGGGGGTACTGTCAGGAATGGACTGGCCAGCAATAGTGGGACTCAGCTGCCTTATGAGCTGCAGTACCAGGGCTGGCCAGCGGGTGCTCCCAGCAATCAGAGACTCAACCTTGCAGCCAGTCAAACACCTGGAACTAATTATACTGGTGTATTTAAGGGACATTCAGACCTGCAGACTCTGCCTTGGTGTTGTGTTTCTCTTGGGCCCTGTATCCTGTTCCTGCTCTCTGTTCCTGTCTAATTCTCTGCTGACCCTGCTCTGATCCCTGGCTTGTCTGACCATTCTCCTCTGCCTGACCCTCTGTACCACGCTGCCCGCTACCTGCTGAACCTGGCCTGTGACCCCGACCATTCTCCGCTTGCTCCCCCTGTACCTACCTGCCCGACTGATATTGACCCGGCCTGCCTGACGACGCTTTTGCATTGTATGTACTGTTATCTGTGGGTGGTTGGTTGGTTTGTTTGCACTGTGTTATGTTTTAGTATTGCACTGCGTTTATGTTTGTATGGTTAGTGTTAATAAATTACATTGTTTATAACATATCTGAAGTCTGCGTTTCCCTGCGTCAGTCACACACCTCTGGTCATACTCGGGAGCCCTGACAGCAGATATATACAGAAACCTGGGAGGCTGGACAGGTGATGAGAGGGGAGAGAGCTGGAGAGCAGAAGCGGAGAGGGAGTCATGCTGACTGCCGGGGGGGCCAGACCAGGCTGTGGAGATAGTGAGAGAAGAGGCAAGGAGGAGTCGCTGACCGCTAGCCTTGCCACCTTGTTCAACGAAGCAGTCTGCTGGTGGGTGACCTGTAGCACAGTGACCAGACGAAGCACTGCAAGTGAGGCCAGAGAATCAGTGGGGGCCCCCCATCCCCTGACAGAGAGAAGCAGTCAGGACCTGCTGTAAGCCAACGATCAGGTGAGAGAATCCCATACACCAATTAAGCAAGAGAACACTGACATTCTCTTCATACCTGCTACTTTACCTGCACACAGTTGCGGACATTGCATTCAGTTAATGCGTGTTGCAGCCTTGTTCCCATAGCCGCTACGGATGATCACATTTGCAACACAGTCCAATCATCAGAGCTGACCGCAGTGCATGCCTCCTGCAGGCCAGACCACATCAGAGCTCCCTTAATTATTGGCCTACCCTCCTAAAGGAACTTCTACTACCATTGCCATTGGTTACAGCCCAGAGTGGAGTGGCCCTTTTTGCCAACAACCATATTGCCAGTTTGACAATCTATTTGCCTAAAGCTGCCCTTTTCTCAGTGTATTAAAGGGGACAACACCAAAGTCAGGTGCCACTTAGAGGGAAAGTACTCGTCCTTTTTTTTCCCCTCCCCTTGTGTTAATCCTGGGGCGAACTGTCACCTACATCACTTCCTACTTGTGCACCAACAGGGCCCCAGGGAGTGCGCAGAAGAATCCTCACTGCATTTAAAGGGACATTGACTACCCTGGTCAAAAAGCTCTTTTATCTCAGATTTACTTCTTGCCATCAGATTATGGGGGCCCAAGGTGGGCTAGTTTTACTGTTGCTAGTTTTCATTGCTCACTGGGGCTGGCATCACCTGAGGTTGAATGTGTTGGGTTAACTTCTGAAAAGCGGGCCTGCTAGCACTGATTGATATGCTGCTGTATGTGTTGTTTCTTCTCTTAGAGTTGCTAAAAGTAATCATTGCCATTCCATGTACCCAAACCATTTTGTACTGTTTAACCAAGCTTACACTGAAGTGTAATAAAAACCTCATATAAATTTACTCTAACTTGTGCATGAGTCTACTTTTTGGTTGTAATGTACTCTGGTCACAAGAGTCCTGTGGTGTCAGCAGTGGTTGGGCTTTCAGAAAGGGGTCCAGAACTACAGGGAGCCCAAAAATAACTCAGCGACTCCTAAGGGGGTAGTGCTAGAATTGAATTCACAATAAAAACCATACAGTAAAGACTATTTTCTTTACAAATGTCTTTTCTTCAAGTCGTACTGCATGTAAACTTGGCACTTTCACCATCCAGATGCCTGACCTAAAATATATACAATTACCAATTTATATAAAAAAAATTCAGATTGGAATTATTGATTTAAGTGGACTATGTATTATTTTAGATGTAATGATTCATGTGTTTTCAGTGCACCATTCTTTCCAAATCTTTACCATCTCAGAAGGTTGGGAGGAATGGTTCCAACACGTTCTGTAGGTTTCAAATGTTTATTTAGCAATGTGCTGCAGTTGGTTTTCAGTATATTTATTATCATCATGCCTTTCAGTCTGCATTCTCTGCTTTTCCACAGCGCCAAACTAGATCCGCTAAACATAATACGATAGGACAGCAGAGTCATCTGGGAGTCAGTGTGTGATGTTCCTGGTGTACATCTTGCAATGTATGTATTAGCTGCTATGATATACTCTGGATGCCCCTGAGAAATATACATCTAATTAAAAATAAAATTCTTTATTTTTCTATCACATCTTTTCCCAGAAGTTTGGTGCGTTCCATGTGCCCTTTGAGTATAAAAAAAAGATTTATTTACATAACGGGATTTCATGTTTTTGCTTTGGCATGTCAGTTGATGCTAATTATTATTTTTTTCCCATCTCATTTTTCCTCTTTTTTTTTCTAATCGTCAACCAGTATTATCTACACTTGCCTCACAGATTGTGCCGCAATATGTGTTTGTTTCATTAATACTCAGCCAAACAAACGTACAGGATTTGACAGTGCTTAAGGGCAAGTGTCATTCATGGCAAAAGGTTGGCTACCGATCGAAATATATCAGGAAATTGCACAGGACATAAAAAAAAAAATCCTTTTACCCTTGTGCTCCGCCGTGGGTTGTTGTATTATCATTTCAAGCATGGTGGTCTTGTTTATTGAATCCTAATAAAGGCTTCAGTGTTTTTTACTGTAATATGGTCAAGCTGCATACAGAGTTAGAAATATGGGGCTCTTTTAAAGTGGAGTTCTAGTCTATATCTAACTAAGCTTAAAACTGCTCCCACCCCCTTCTAACTCCTATACTACCCTGTAGAAGGAAAATGCTTATACTTACCTATGCTCAGGGTGCTCTGGTCAGCAATCAGCTCCCAGCGGCCAGCTTCAGGGGAGAGGAGGGACAGCCGACAATGGATGCCCCATAGTAAGCCTATGGAGGATGTCACCGACCATGGATTTCAGCCATTGTTGGCAATCTCTCTTCTACCCTGAAGCCGGCCACTAAGGAGATCATGTGACCACAGTGGAGCTTCCGGATAATAGGTATGTATAAGCATCTTCCTTCTATAGGGAGGGTAGTATAGGAGTTAGAAGGGGATAGCAACAGTTTTAGGTTTAGTTAGATATAGACTGGAATTCCACTTTACGTTTTATAGTTCCTAGGTGCTGCAACAAAGGATAAACTGAAATTTAAAGCCTAAGGCTGGATATAGATGACTGAAAAAATGAACTGATTCCTCCATCCACAAATGCAAGGTGTCTAGAGGAATCCTCCTTGCTTTGCCATTGTATTCTGACAGCAGGACTTCAGTGAATACAGTGATCAGTGGCTGCAGCTGCTGATCAACAAAAGCTTTCCAACATTCCCATTAGACTTGTGCTGAGCTGAGACAGCCTTACCAGGAGTGAAATTCGACTGGTTCTGCTGAACTGGATGAATTTCAATCCATCTATACAGCTTTACACTAACTATTCTTATCAATGTCTCCTCCTCCTCCTCCTACCTATCTTGCTTACTCTGTGTAAACAGACCTGTATGCTCATCTTAGTCCACTCTCATCTGGTCATGTGATCCTGCAGCTCTAGCTTCCATGTGTCATGGAGCACACAACAATGGCTGGGAATTTTGGGAGCAGTAATGTCACCCATAGGCCAGCCATTGTCAGCATTCCCTTTTCTCCTCTGCAGCAGCAGCTCACTGACACAGGTGAGCTGGAGCTGCAGGATCA